CACCCCCCCCACTAGAAGCACCACCCCGGAAAATTTTGCACAGTATTTTGTGTTTGCACATCTCCTGTTGCAGATTTCCAGAGCTGCTTTTGCCTGTGCGCTTGTCATCCCCAGCATTGTCTTAGTCACGAGGACTAGTGGAGCATTTCCTTCCTACTGGAAATCTCTGCTGCTGCAGAGATGTTGTTATATCTTTTGGGGGATGTTGCAATGCTGTGGGCAGAGTCTTGGGAAAAATAATGCTCTTTCCTGTGGCAGCACACATGAGTAGTTCATATTTTTACTTACATTGATAAAATAGCAGACCACAGTGTTTTAGAGGGAAGTGTGGACATATCTCACTTCTTCCCTAACCTATAGCCTAATGACCCTAGGGCCCAGTCACAGATTGTACCCTAACCCAGCTGTGTCTTCATCCACCGGCTGGGCAAAGGTGACTTGTCTAGTTAAAAGTGGAGTTCTTTGACCTGATAGAGCAGACCAGTGCCGTCTAGCTCAGTGATTTTCAACTAGGATGCTGTGAAATTCTCCTTAGGGGGATGCAGGCTGTTGTGCAATATTAGCATTGTTAGATGTATGAACACCTATACATGGCTCACAGATTTCAAAGGGAAATCCATAGTGTTAAAAACATTTTGACCTGCTGTGGTCTCTCTCAGTTCTTTGCAACAGAATAAATGCTCTATGTTAGCAATTCTAACTCTATAGTCCAAGGAGTGAAATCTAAGAGCTGGTGTTTTCTGAAGGGTTTCTTGAGTCTAACAAGGTTCAGAGCCACTGGTCTAACTAGACAACCCTAAAGAATGGTGTTCTGGGGATCCAAGGATGTTACAGGCTAAAGAGCAAGACAGGCCACGGTGGAAAATGTTTGATCCTCATGCCTGGTGGGTAACCCTTTCGGGAACTGTCTGGATAGCCAGCAAACTCCCAAGGTAAGGTGAAATATGATGCAAAAGGGTTGCTTTTTACTGCACCTCTTTGATGTGAAAATGTAACCATGGACAGTTCCTGGGCTGCTTTCTAACTTCAGAAATATCGGGTTCACTTTTTTTAAAAAAAAGAATTTGCTGACATCTCCTGAATTAATTAATCAGTAAGCTAAAATCTCAGCCCCCATCCTCCCTAAAAGAGGAGGAATCTAATTTCTAGCTGACAAGTAGGATCTATGAGTGGTGTAAGTAAGGGGTTGGCCCACTGCAGGTAGCTGTCCAGGTCCTCCCAGATGTCTTGCATGAAGGAGAGAGGAAACCAATCTTAAATCCAGGGTGTGGGAGCAGGGTTTCTGGGGTAAAAATGTGTGAAGTTTCCTTTTCACAACATAAAGGAGCAAAGAAGAGCACAAACGCTTATTTTTGCTTTGCATTTCATCCTTCTAAGGTATGGGATGATTCCTTTTGAGTTGATTATACGGTTTGCAATTACTACTTTATAATCTGTGTTGCATTCGTACCCAAGACCCCCAACACATGCCCTGTACCCAGCATAAGCACAAAGGCAGAGAAATTCCCTGTGCCCCTCATAGCTTGTACTCCAAAGTCCCAATCCTGTGAATTTAGGCCTGGTTAACTTTATTCAGCCAAGTTATCCTGTTTGAAATGTTGTCTTTTGTGGAAGCATCTGTTGAATTGTCATTACAATGAGGTGTAACACACCATTTAAAGGGTGTGGGCTTTGAGCTATTTTGAAAATCAATAGTTAGGCCAGTGGACCCAGCAGATCATTCATGGATCTTTCCTGGGTGGTGCTTTAGCACTGTTGGTGCAAGGGAGTGATTGAACTTGGCTCTGCCTTCTGAGTAGTTGTAATAATGGTGCATTCACTCTAACCCAGTGTTCCCTCCTGTAGCCGACCGAGAATTCATCGAGTCTAGGCGGAGGGCTCTGAAGCGGTTCATCAACCTGGTGGCTCGGCATCCTCCCTTCTCAGAAGATGTGCTCCTGAAGCTGTTCCTCTCCTTCAGTGGCTCAGTGAGTTCTCAATAGCAGTATTTTGTGTTTGCACATCTCCTGTTGCAGATTCCCAGAGCTGCTTTTGCCTGTGTGCTTGTCATCCCCAGCATTGTCTTAGTCACGAGGACTAGTGGAGCATTTCCTTCCTATTGGAAATATCTGCTGCTGGAGAGATGTTGTTATATCTTTTGGGGAATGTTGCAATGCTGTGGGCAGAGTCTTTGAAAAATAAAGCTCTTTCCCGTAGCAGCACTACTCGTGGTCCAAGTTAGCTTGACACTGCCTACATGTTGCAGTTATTCACACAGAGCACGTCCACAAGCAATTGGGATGCATAACCAGATGTATTTATACTTATTTAATGCTTGTTTGGTTGTGCTTTTTTAGGATGTGCAGAACAAGCTGAGGGAGTTGGTCCAGGGACTTGGAGATGAGTTCATGACTTGCAAACTAGCGACCCAGGCTAAGGTATTTTCCTTTATAATGTCTAATTAGAACTTTGATGTCTCCTGCCTGTGTGCACACGATTTTTGCGTACGTTGGGTAAAAGATGGGAGGGGGGACTTCACCTAAAGAGAGGAAAATGAGCCATTTAAAGAAAGCTGACTTACTCTTCTCTTTCATTTAAAAAAAATTATAAATATATGATGATTTCCTGGCTCATACTTTCCAGCCTGCTAGAATAGCATACAAGTGGTAAGCAAGAAAGTTTATCCAAGTGCATGTTTTTAAAGCATGAAACTCATAACCTACACTTTTTGAAAATGCATCCTTTGATTGGTCTTTTCCCTAGCACCTCTGTGTTGTCACATTGCTCTTTCTTTCTGAGAGAAATGATGAATCTTGCTTCCTTCTAAGTTGGCTGCAAGCAGCTGATTTCTTTCTTATTTGCTGATAGCATTTATCTTCCAAATTGCCTACTTTTTTCTTTTGTAAAAGTATGCCTGAGGTGAAGGAAGAGAGACCAGGCAACGAATGAGCTGATTACAAGCTGCTTTAAAAAATGGTTTTCTGTCATCTAGCATAGTGGAGTCCTGGTCCAGAACTGGGACTTCTGGTCACTACTGTGTTGGAAGTAATGGGCAAGTTATGTTTCTGCTTTGTCCTTCAGTTTCCCCTTCTGTAACATTGGGATGACATTGGTCTTCTTTGCAAAGTGCTTTGAGTCTTACTTATGGGGTGTGCTGTATAGGAGTGAGGTATTAGTACATTTTTACTTTTATGTTACTCCCATGTGGGCCACTCCTGTGGGTTAATGCTAGAGACCATTTTCTATTTGTCCTGCTCTTCGCTGTTTGCTGTGCAGAGTTACTGGAGAATAAGCTGGATCTTACTTGGATTCATGCAGCAGTACTGAAATTTCTAAGTCCCAGTTGTCTAAACTCTCACTGATGCGTGAGCTAGAAGTCCAGCTGAGCCTTCAGTATCTGGCTGAGCTTTTTCAGGGCTGGCAGTTAGCAACTCCTGCTCAGGTCTTCAGGAACAGACCCTAAACCCCATAATGCTGTGTGTTTTTTCTCTCCTTAAAAAAAAAAGCACTCCCCCCGCCAAAAAAAAAAGCAAAAAAAAAAAAAAAAGAGAGGATAGAGAAGCAACCCAGCCCACCCAACCTCCCAAAAAAAAAAAAAAAAGAGAGGATAGAGAAGCAACCCAGCCCACCCAACCTCCCAAAAAAAAAAAAAAAATCTCTTTGCTGTGTGTAACAGGATTTGGAGTCTCCCTAGTCTGCTCCCTGACTTCTAATCTCTCTTTGTGACTTGCTGTTTATGTTATTTAGTCAGTAATCTCTCCTGTGCTGTCTCAGGACTTCCTCCCAGCTGACATCCAGGCCCAGTTTGCTGCCAGTAGGGAGCTTATCAGAAATATTTATAACAGCTTCTATAAACTGCGGGATCGTGCTGAGCGAATAGCCTCCCGGGCTATTGATAATGCTTCGGATCTTCTCATATTTGGAAAAGAGCTAAGGTAGGCTGCAGGGAGAGGACTCGTACAAGACGCTTCTGTTTTTTAATAGAGTGATAGGCTTCCCTGATAATGTCCGTGGGGAACAAACAATTGTTTTTTTTACATGGTGCAGGGGAAGAAAACAGAAGGTAGGTTCCTCAGGGCAGGGGAAGCAAAATGCCAGTGTGTTGACATTTCTGGCGTTGATTTATGCTTGAGTGCAATGGTGCAGTCCCTAGTGTGTCCACACCAGTGTGTATGTGATCAAGACACCCATTCATAGATCCTTCTGTGGGATGTGCCTGTTCACACATTCTGCCTGGTTTTTAAGCAGAAAACACTGAAGCTGCTTGCTAGTGCAGTTTGTCTTCTAGACAGACCTGTTAAACGGCTGTCACTGCAATCCACTGCTAACTGGACCCTTTCTGGGGACCAGCTACAAACTTCATGCAGCCTGACTCTAGAGGGACTCTACTTCGGCTGTAGCCTGCTAGTGAGGTTTGGGGAGCTAGGGGGTACTCATTAGTAGCTGCTGGCTGGGATATGACTTCTAGTGTTTAACTACCTCTTCCCTCTTCTCTCTTCTCAGTGCATTAGGCTCGGATACTACACCACTCCCTTCCTGGGCTGCTCTGAACAACAGCACGTGGGGGACTCTGAAACAGGCCTTGAAAGGCCTGTCTGTTGAATTTGCACTGCTGGCTGATAAAGCTGCACAGCAGGTGAGTTCCCCTGCCAGTGGCTTCTCCTGTGTCTGGCATCCTGAGACATGCATGCTTGCCTCTTGAATCAAGAGCCTTCTCGGATGGGTACTCAGAAATCACACCCCTGTTCTTGCCTAAACACTTCATAGGATTCTCACTAGATCAGTCTGAACAAGTACGCTGGCAGACCTTCTTGCTCGATCCAGTGTGAACAGCAGGAGTCCTGGCTGTGGCCTGAGGCCTGTACAGCTTCAAAGTAAAGTTAGTAGGGACAGGGAAAATCCTTTACAAAAAGGTGTCAAGAACAAGGTAATTATTGCTGTGGGCTGATCTGTCCAAGAGTCCTGCACTTTGTTTGCCTAAGATTACCAGCTAGATGGAGTCCAGCTGAATCTGCTTCTTTATCGAGTTTGACCTTTTGTAGCCTGTTTAAATGCTACACGAAACTTATTCAGGCAGAAGCCATGAGATGTTGTTGTTGTAAGGGCACCACGTGCTAACAGATATGGGAATGTGAGAACTTGATGGTCTGTAGGGGACAGTAATGTCCTATTTTTGCTACAGCCACCACTTTATGGTGCTTAGTGTACTAGGTTCAGACCAGGACCGTACCTCCAGAGGTGACTTTCTGAAGAGCCATACTGATGCAGGGACCAGCAGTAAGTGGTGAAATCCAGCTCGAGTCATGCATACTCTGCTTCCTATTTCAAGAACTCTTTTAAGGGGGGTGGAAGGGAGCAGGAGTTAAGACATCCCTCTCCCAGGAGGCCTAAAGGAGGGAAGACTAAAGCCTAAGGGAGTCTGCCAGAACAGGCATTTTGGGCAGAGTGAGCTCATGATGCTAAACTGCCTGTTGCAGCAATCGGCTAATTGGAATGCCCTTCTCGCTCCAGGCAGATCTTTATTTATCCTGCTTACCAGCTCCAGCATCTCGGCTCCTGTGGTGAGAGTGTAACAACTGCTCTGGCCCCCCTGCAGAGATCTTTAGGGCACAGTGTGCAGGTGATGTGGGCACCTACCAGATTTGTAAAATATTTTTGTCCCTTGTTTTCTAGGGTAAACAGGAAGAGAATGATGTGGTGGAGAAGCTGAACCTTTTCCTGGATTTACTCCAGTCCTATAAAGTGAGTTCTGCTGTTCCTGTGCCAGTGAGAGAGTTGTTTAGAGCAAGCCTGTTCTCTTTAGAGGATGCCATGCCAAGTGAATGGAAAAAAAAAAAAAGTATCTGGAAAGGCAGCTTAGCAGCAAACTGGGCATGATGCAGAGGGAGGGGAGTGGCTGTTGCCCTTGGTGAGCTCTACAGCATTACTGATCAGCTCTTCTCTCATGGTTGGGTGTTGCTGGACAGCAGACCATGCAAGGAGCTGAAAATACCATCTGCTTTCCTTGCATGAGTCAGCTAACTTCCAAAATGGCTCTTTTGGGGTCAAGGAAAGAGAAGGAATTGGTGGGCAAGGCCTTTGCATTAGGAGCCTCAGTCCAGTTAAAAATTAAATTAAGTTTTGTCCTGCACCACCACCTTCCTGAACACCTGTTAAAAACACACCTAGGTGAAGTTCAGGAAAGGCTGATAGGCACGCTGAGGAGGCACCTGGTCTGGGACTGGAGCAGCAAGGTCCCTCCACTGATGCTGAAGTTGAATTGGCAACATTCAGCACTAGAAAGAGACTTGCAGATTGGAAAGCTGGGAAAGATCAAGCACATGGAAGAGATGAGACTCCAGAACACCTGTTAGAGCTTTGTCTTTTGACTTGGAGTGGTCCTGGGTTTTGTTGTCATGAATGTTGGTGCTTAAGCGTCTCAGTTTTTTGTTGGAGGGGGGAGGAAATTCTCTGAGTATCTACTGTTGAAGCTGGAGGGCTCACTTCTCAGACTTCAGCTCTGTCCCTGGCCTCTGCTGCCTCCTATATATCCATCCTCCATAGCTCCCTGCCCCACATCCAGAGGTCAGTGAGTACCTGTCTGTTCCCTTTCCCATAAAGGATCTGTGTGAGAGGCATGAGAAGGGAGTCCTGCACAAGCACCAGCGAGCCTTGCACAAATACAGCATGATGAAGAAGCAGATGATGAGCGCCACCGTGCAGAACAAGGAGCCGGAGTCCGTGGAACAGCTGGAGTCGCGCATTGTGGAGGTGTGTGGGACAGGATGGAAGCCTCTTTTTGCTGGTGCCATTACATGGCTTGGTGGTGCTTTCAGAATGGGCACTAGGCTGAAAAGTTCCCCTGTGGATCTCGGTCCTGTTCCTGTTAAAACTGCGTTGCAAAGAAAGGGCTTTGTTTGCTTGCTACTGAACTGCTAATGTTTGGCTTGGCAGTGAGACTTGCTCCCAGGAGGTGCTGAAATGCAATTTGCACATGACCTCACTAGCTGCTGTCAGGCAAAGTGCATGCAGGACTGCAGCTTGTTTTTTTTTTTTTTTTTTTTTTTTTTTTTTTTTTTTTTTTTTTTTTTTTTTTTGCAAGTGCTTGTACCGTGGGCCTGAAGAGAACTGGGACTGCTGCATTATCACCTGCTTTACCTGTCCTAGTTGCATAACTGATTGGGTTGCTCTTCTTTCAGCAAGAGAATGCCATCCTGACCATGGAACTGCGCAATTACTTTTCTTTGTACTGCCTGCACCAGGAGACGCAGCTGATCCATATCTACTTGCCTCTCACTTCTCATATCCTGGGGGCATTTGTCAACTCCCAGATCCAGGGCCATAAAGAGGTGAGTTCTTCTCTCGTCCTGTGGCAGGCAAGGTTGGTTGGGTAGATGTGAGATCCTTTATTAGACCAACGGATTAGTTGGAAACTACTTGTCCTGTACCCTTTCCCTGTGTCCTCCCCTCCAAATACAGATAAGTCTTTGAACTTCCTTTTGCCCTTTAGC